GTCGTGATAACTCTGAGTCTCGTGACAGAAAGGAAAATACAATCATTTTACAGTTAACACGGCACTAATGGCGTTTCCCACTATGGATAGGGTGGTTTTACATTACGACCGTGTGACTTCCATTATGTGAGTGACGTCATTTATTCAAAGCACAAGCAGAGACAACAGTGAAAGACATCCTAGCAACTACAAACCTTCTAAACCTCGGTGTTGGTTCATGTATAAGGCATTTACAAGGTTTATGATCACAGAAGTAATGAAAGTGCACCATTGTCGTTGCCCAGCTTTTAAATGGGCAGGTTTTCATATCAACTGAAGACATTTAGAAGGCACTCTAACCAACAATTTTTTTTGCATTAGATTATTAAGTAGTATCCTTTTATCTAAAACCTTTAACAAGAACAAATCCAGGCTTGTCATGGTGATAAAATGGGGACAGAGATTGAATACATACTGATGTAGAAGGTATTGGGGGCCTGTGTTCCATCCAACTCCAGCTCCAGCAGGCTGCTGATCTTGTTTTCATGTCTCAACCAAAGGGCCACACCCAAGACAACCCCACCGGCGAGCTGCAAAACAAAAGAAAGTGTTTGTTTTTTGTGTGTACTGTACAGCATTTATGACGTTAGGCGCATTTCCAAATAGGCAAGTACATTTCATTAAGACAGGAAATGTCTAAAAAGCCTTCCTCAATGGCCTCACAATCTCTTTCACTCATCTAAAACCCATTTAAAAGGGAGAACAAACCAAGGAGCAGGCCTCAGAGGAGCTGCAGAGAGACAAGACTAAGTGGTGAAATTATGTTGTTTGTATAGAGAAAAAATGGAAAATAATAATAATAATTTTCTATGATTAACACTTCCAGCAAGTCTGTCCAACATTCAGGAATAAAGTATTTTCACCCAATATGAGAGGGAATCGTGTTTGTTTTTAATCCAAAAGTAGCATCAATTTTTTTTTTAGGATTAAATTATTGTTACTATTATTAAATGTACACGAAAAGAAACACTTTACTGAAATAATGTTTTTATTTTATTTTGTGCATAAAAAAATATTCAAACTGAAGATTTTAGACAATTATATTTATGATTTTTGAAATAAATAAATTAGTAGCTCTAAGGCATAACGCAGATAAAAACTATTTGGGATTTGGTAGATGATGAAAGTTACTGAGGAAAACTCAGACGGATGTCTACAGTAACATTTAGCATGCGCTTCTCATATTAGATTACCCAGAACTGGCCAGTGATTATTTTCCAGGAACTTACTTAGTAAGTCTGACTCAATGATGGTTAAGAACTTCAGTATTCTAAAGAAACTGTTGCTTACTTAAGCATAGTTCTGACCCTGAGCCCATTGTCAGCACCCCTTAATGGAGAGCAAGTCAAGCCCCATTCTTCAATACAAACAGTTAAAGTCGACAGCCAGCTCTCCATCTTACATTTCAAAGGCAAAACTTTATCTGCAAACAGCAGTTTCAACAGCCATTCAGCATCTTTACTGTCTCTGACACACGGATTAGCTCTGAGAGGGGGCTGACTTTGACCTGGAGGGTTATGAGTTCAGCTATATCAACAAAGAAGGGAAAACAGCTGGAGGAGTAGCTGTGTATGTGGACCTATGAAACATATGAAATAGACAGTATGAAATAGAAGAAAACACAACCAGAAGATGTATTTGAGTGCATAACAGTTTAAACATTTATGGAAAAAGCTAATGATGTTACTATTAATTGCATATACAGAGCTCCTGGTTCTAATATGGAAATGTTCAGCAAATGGATTGAGCAAGCAAACAGTTAATCTCAGAAAGTCTTTTTTTAATCTGTGGTGACTTTAATATAGATCTACTTAACTCAAACAATCATAAACCTACTGAATAATTAATTAATATTATGTCCACTTTGAAACTTGGTCCCAAAATCAATATTTGATATATATATACTGTATATATATATATATAAACAAGGGATGCATTTGCTTTTATTTATTTATACAATGATATAACTATGGCCTGTGATGGACTGGTGACCTGTCCAGGGTGTACCCCGCCTCCTGCGTGTGGTCAGCTGGGATAGGCTTTAGCCCCCTCCGAGAGGGAATAAGTGGTATAGATCACGGACGGATGGGTTTACTTATTTTTGGGTGCAATCTGCATCGGAAGGATATAAATCAGACAGGAAACAGGGTGTTTACGCTATGGGCAATAAGAGGGAGAGGGTTATGAATATCTAAGTTTGGCTTTTTCAGACCCTTTTTCAGACACATTCCACTAACTAGGCTCACATCTGAGCGTATATATACTTATACGTTTATACAACTGGATATTTTGTCTGTTATTAGTTTCTATTAATGTTCAAATTTATATGTGGATGTGTAATATGCTGTTGCGCTTTTACGAATATGAGTGTGTTGATTGGGATTTCTGTTCTTTGCTAAATTGTTTACCAATCATTTCAGTCTGAACTGAGTGGAGTACGATCTGTATTATGTCAGGCTTTTCAAATATTTCTGTTAAAATAAACTATGGAATTCAGGGTAAGATCTTGGACATTCCAAATTGTCCTTAGGAGTGAGTGTGTGTGTGTGTGGTTGTTTGTCCTTGTCTGTCTTGTGTGTGGCCCTGCGATGGACTGGTGGACTGTCCAGGGTATACCCCGCCTCTCGCCCGTTGACCACTGGGATAGGCTCCAGTTCCCCCCGTGACCCCATTAGGGAATAAGCGGTAATGATAATGGATGGATGGTAAGATTTTTCTTCTTTACTGCCGGTTTAACAACAGGGGAATTGATTAAGTTCCCGAGAACGTCTGCATTATTCAGTTACCTTTAATTGATCCATCGCACACTCCTACAGGCTGGCTATGCTTTAAACCTGGCACTCACGGAAATAGCAGATATATTTTCAGTTTAACTGCAGTGAAGTATTTTAGGATTGACAGGGAGTTGATATGAGGTTTTAATGGACGATTTCTAAGTCAGTTTCAAATCTTTCGCCGTGTGGCCAAGTAAGAACAACAATGTGTGACTTAAAGCCTCTGTCGGGGATTAAGTTGTAAAAATACACTATATATATTGTCATTCACTAATCAATCATTAGGGTTAACCATTTTATAGGTATGAATTTGTTTACCACGATACAGTACCTCCGAACAATTCAGTGTTCTGCCATTTGAACATCAAGCCATCGGCACTACAGCCAATTTGAAATGAAAGACTTTTTTATAATTAGCCATTTTGTGGGATTGTGCTCTGGCAAACTAGTCAAACGGATGTGTATCTGATGGATATGAACCATCAGATTTAATGCATTGTCTAACAAAAAGGAAACAATCCAAAAACTTTGTAGTATGTCCGCAACTAAGGACTCAAATAAACTGATGAGGGTGTGTCGGCTTAAATGTAAAATTATATCAAATGTATTTCAGTTTGGGATGGCATAGTATGTTTCCCCAGCCCGGTCTTCAACCAGTGTCTATTTCCGTCAGCTTTAGAAGTGGGATATGGAATGCTGAGCATGCTGGGGGTGGGGGTTTGGTTCCCTCAAGTTTCCAATAACACCACACCAGCTCCCTCCACAAACACCCAACCACAAGTGCACTTTATTTTGCCCAGTAACTCGCACAACTCTAGCAGTAGAACGCAAAATTCTGTTCTTTTTATTTATCGCATTACAATTTGTAGCTTTTCACAAAGACAAAACCCAAAACATATATACTTAATTCCCTTTCTCTAATATTTTTTTCAAATCCAAGAACAATCATATTTTAACAGATATCTTAAGTTTGCCTTCTCTCTCTTTCTCTCTTGCCCCTAACACTTCACATCCCTTTCTTTTAATGCGTTTGCCACCATCTGAGAACAAATGGCAAAATGACGAACAACAGCAAAACCATGCAGGGCCGGATGTTCAAACACTTGTCTGGTAGTCAAGCTGTGGTTACACAGTTTGACTACCAGAGAAGTGTTTGAACAAAGACTGCAAGGCTTCATGTGTGACTTACGTTTATAGGTGTTAACAGAGTCAGATAGTTGGTTTCCCTGCTAGATCACCCCTAACATCTGCCGTTATCACATTGTTTAGAAAATATTTAGTCCATGAAGAAAAGGGACGGAACCAGTACTGGGTCTGGTCTTTAGAGGGAACCAGTGTCCGGCTATTTCCGGGTCACATCTCAGTGGGCTGACTGGAGCTTTTTGTCCCGCCTATGGAAAGAGGAGGGAGGGCTGCCAGAGAAGAAGCTGGGAAACCTCAGTGCTCAGAGGCCTGACGGGTAAACATAGGGTGATCAAGTAGTCTGAAGGTTTTGTTTCTGATTTGATTTGGGGGAGCGGCTACCTGGAAAGGAAGCCAAGAACTTTCAGTGTGAAGTCCTGTTTCCCTCGCAGAGGAATGACTTTTGTTCAGTTTCTTCAATTACAAAGAAGTTGAGGGGTTCACTATAGATGACACTATACATGTCAGTCAAAGACTCATAAAAGGAAACTATGTAAAAGTGAGAATATGTTGAGCATTTGAGTGAAATAAGTATTAATAAGTAAAACACAAGTTAGCCTTTGTGAAAACATCTTTGTTAACAAGAACAACAATGTACATGCATTTCTTGGAGGTAGTCATCGAGTTTGAGCCCAGCTCAAGAGGGATTTAGGCCCCTTTCATTACAAAAACTCTTTGAATTCTTCCGGCTTCTTGGCTGTTGCTTGTAAATTTAAAGCAACAGCTTTTTTATTAGGTCGAGGTCTGGAAACTGATAAGACTCAGTGCTTCTTCTCGTACCGCCCTGTCGTGTCCCTGAAAGTGGGCTTCGGCTCTATGCGGTTTAGGTGATTTTCCACTACAAATTCTGGCTAAGCAGAAAGACGGCCGCATGACGTCACATCTAAATGACACAAGCAGAAAAAAAGACGAAGCCTGGAGTCTGCCTACCCGACATGAGACATGTCCGGCATGTACCTGTACGGCCACAATCGTGGGACAAACATTATTTTACTTTTCTTTGCAACCAGTTCAAAACCGCATATCGCCTCCTACCACATAGGCGTGTGGTTTCTAATTTTATAGCGTATCAGTGGGACAAAATGGACACAAACTACAAGAACATACACAGCCAACAGAAGGAACCAGGAACAAAAGCCTTCAATGAAATTTAGTGGAGTGAAAGTGACAGCTTTTTTCATTACAATGTAGGGGAGTAAAAGTAATAAATTTTACCCCCCCAAGTACTGTACAAACTCTCTAAAGCTGTACCTAACTACAGTACTAACCTCTGCTTTTAAGAGACAGATTTGTTGATTTGTAGCTGGTGCTCAGCTCCCTAAATGTTCCTCCCAATCCCCTTCTGTGCCCTGCTTATGTCGCGAGCCACGTCACTACCCACCTTGTCTCTGCTGATGTCTGACACGAGCTTCAGTGTTGAATAGAACGGCTCCCTTGTGTAGATCTTTCATAATCGGGACTGACCTCAGTCTGTCTCAGTCTAGGTCTATGGCTACACAACATTGCAGCCTGAGGTGACCCAAATCCAACTTTTTTTTCCAGAGTAAAACTGCAACCGTAGCTAAAAGTGTCCCAGGTGCACAGTAGAGGATGCAATTTTTCGTTCAACGGTATTGGAGCCAGCAGCGTGTATACCCAAGCTCGGCCATGTCTTGGGAAATGCTAACAAAAAAATTGCCCGGTTTTGACCTCTGGAGTTTGGCCTGGATAGAGCTATCCTCCCAAATACCCTGGCTGTCTCTCCGAAGACTGTTCACCATAGTTGTTGCATTTCTTTGGCGTAGCAGGATGCATTAAAGTGGCCAGCAGGTCAGATGAACGTGACCTGGCTCTGCAGACACAGGCCACATTTGAAAAGATCGGATACCTATCGGATTTAGGGCCACATATCAGATTGGCCTGGGTCGCATTTGAAAAAAATCCCATCTGTATCTTTCACACTGTCATGAAAATCTCAGATACAGGTCGTATAAGCGCAAAAAAAGTCAGATTCGGGTCACTTCAGGCTGCAGTGTGAACGTAGCCTAAGTGGACATTTCAGTGGCCCAACGTGTCCTGGTCCCCTAACACCTGACCGGGGGAAATGCAGCCACAAAAAGGTGCCAGGAACCCCTTCACGGCTCACCAGGACATGGCTAGTGTACAGCTGACAAGCAACAGAAGCAGAAGAAGCAACCACTTCCTGTCTTCCTCAGAGGGATTCACACCTTAACTGGGCACACAACCGTTTCCAGACCTCGTTGTAAACAACTGAACGTTTTGCATGGAATGCTGCTGAGCAGCGGCCTTGCTACGCTCTAAGAGTTGCATGGTGATAACGGTTAAAAGTGAGCTTCATTTGAGTGAAATTGATGTGGATCCTACATACAAACTAACCATCCTCCTTTGTCTAACCTGACACCGTTAAACATGTAATCATCCATGACCCTTGAAGTTTGCGTTAACCAGAACTGGACAGGAACTTGAACATCCCACCCCACATGGTCTTGCTAACCTCTTTAAAGTTGCTGTTTGTTTACACCTGCTGGCAAAACCCCAACTCCCAGGCTAACACAGAGGTTTCGTTTCCCGATTGTTGCATCATCTCTGATTAACACATAACTTACTGAGCATATATGGTCCGAAATGCCATCTGTGGCCCTCACTCACTTGACCACAGCTGCCATTTTGTTCAAGGGTCCCCTCTTCTCTGATACGCATACCCCCACACATGCCATAATCTTTTGCTCACCGCGTGCTAAGGACGTGCTTAGGAGTAGAGAGTGTTCATTAATGAAAGTAAAACTGATTTATTATTATCTATGCCAGCTAGATTCTGTTGTACTATTTATGTACGGTGTGCACATATCCGGGAACTGCAACCGTCATGTTAAGAATGTCTGTCCTGGATAGACACATAAAGACCCACACGTTTTTTTAAACTGGTACTGTATTTTAGTTATTACCTTCATAGTCCAGAGAGGAACAACTTTCATTCATAATTTCACTGAAAGTTAAAAGCTGCCCTTGGACAGCTCTGCTTCCAAAACATAATATTTTATGTTATTTTAGATATGTATATATAGGGTTAGGAAAAATATATATATATATATTGTGTTTATATATATATATATATACACACACACTATTGACTATTATTTTAAATTCGTCAAACTGATAGTTTCTGTCAAATCCTTCTTTACTGAAAATTGATAGAGAGTAAAGTATTGTTCAAACACTCAAACTTCCAAATTTAAGAAAAAACTTCGGGGGAATATTTAAGTCTGTGTTTTAGAAAAACCAATCAAACAAAGGGAACCCTTCTAAGACAGGGAATTACAACTAAAAAAACTGAATCTTGCCACAAACGGGTGACTAATCCACACATGGCTTTGACTCACCATTCGGAAAGAACTATCCTCTCCACATACACATTCTCCTCCTCTCTCCCACTGTCACCCACCCGCCCACCCACGCGCCCCGCGCGCACGCGCGTCATGGAGGGTGGGATCCAAACAAAAGCTTTTTTTCCCCAGACCAAGTAGGTGCATCATGATGGATCCACAGGCGACTTAACGGGTTAGATCTACCAGCTGGGACCTGGATACTTTGTCGAAGCAACCCAAAAACTGTGGGAGTGAAGACAGACATTTCCCTCAAGAGTTTTAATGCTGGTTAAAAAAAAAAAAAAGCAGGATGGCTACTCTCGCACATTTTGACACGTTTAAGTATCGAAAATGAATGGCACCTTGTCGGTGTACGTTAATGTGATAAAGTATCGTTACAGTTTTACTGGAACTATAAACATAAGTGTGTGTGAGTGTGTATGTGTGTGCGTGTGTGTGTGTGTGACGTGCGCCTCAACAAACCAAAACCGTTAGACGGAGAAAAGGCGGCACTGCGCAACAATAAGAACGAATACCCCCCCCCAAAAAAAATCCTAAAGGCTTACCCAGAAGATGAAGTTGAAAAAGAAAAGCATGTACTTGATGCATTTGGTACAACCTTCGACTCCCATGGTGATCGAGTAAAGCGAGATGTTGGAAATGGAGACACAATCGCGGCAGACTCTTTTAGGGCGTAACGCAACTGGAATGACTGCCTTCGACTCGTGGAAGGAGGCAACACCCAACTCCTCCTCCTCCTCGCTGCTCCGTCATGGCCTCATCGCCTTCCCGTAATCCCGGAACTGTCCGGTTTGAGTGACAAAGCGCGGGCCAATCAGAGCGGAGAGCGAAGCATTTTTTTTTTAAATATATATAAAAAAAGTATTTAAGGAGCGAGCTACGTGACAACTCTTGGCCATCAAACATATGCATCCGTTAATGGAAGAAAAACGTGAAAAATGTTTCCTCCTATAAACAAGTAAACCTGGAATCAAAACAGGAAGTGGCCATATAGGGTTCCTATGCTACGTCATCACTGGCTGTACCTCCTAGCAACCTCTCACGTTGAGAAAAAAGCACCCATTAATGGTCTTTCATATTTAAGCCACATTTCTTTCCATATATGTTGTTTATCTGGATAAGCACAAATCTTTGTTACTGGAATAACTTTATGTTCTTTATTGCTGGTTTAGGAATACCATGGCATTAGTCAATCAACTGTGTTGCAAATGGCCATTTGTTCACTTATCAAGATATTTGATTTCATTTTAAGATTCCTGAGTCCCAAACAGTTTCACTTCCCCAGATCACTTTCAACCAGGTTATGCATTGAACATGGTTCAGTGGTTCTCATAACAATGTGAATATTTTCATTGCAGTTCCACATAAGATCACAACTTAACAAAGGTTTGCAACAAATGTATGCTAGATCAAAACTTGGACTCTTCCTAAAAAATGTACAGTTAATAAATTTAAATAAACTTTCGTCTCCGCTTGTAAGACATCAAAAATACATTGAAATTTCTTGTAACTTAGGTTACTTGCACCCAGAGAGTGTTCTGCACCTATGAACAAATCAGTCTATAACAAATAACAAATAAGTCTGTGGGATCTTTTTTTATCTTATATAAATTTAATTTTGGACAACATTTATGACAGAATGGAACTTTATTTGAAGATGCTTTATTTAGGTTGTTCAGGTTGAATCCCGCTTCTCACTAAATGTCAGCTGGGTCAGGCTCCAGCACCCTGTAACCTTATAAGGAATAAGCAGAATAGTCAATGGATGGTAGAAATGTAATCTGCTAAAAAAAACAACTAAACTCTAAGTAAGGAAATGGCATTTTTCATTTTTTCAGTTTCTATCACACACAAGAGAAAATGTTTTAAAACACTGTCTTCATGCTCCAAAAGTAACATTCAAATCTAATTAGCAGTTGCTTTTGGATGTGTGCTATTCAGTTTTTTCAGCCACCCCTGGTGACTGTTCTCTGAATGTCTTAATCTCCTGTCATTTTTTTCAGTTTGGTGAAATTTAACACTGCAGTAGTGCTCTTCACCAATATGGCCCGATCCCTATGTTGTTCAGAAGAATGGACTGATAAACTATTTTGAAGTTTGTTTATCTTTTTGCCTCCTTTCCATTTAGTGATGATTAGATCACCTTGGTGGCTCTATGAATATGAATAATGAAGGTAATGATGGCTGTCCATTGTCTCATCTAAATTGACATGTACTCACAGGTTTGATTGAGTATTAATCAAAAAACAATTTTCAAAAGGGAAAAAATGTATTATTCTTCAGGCAAATCATAAAAAATGGGTCCTGTGACAAACAGTCCACCTTGGTTAAAATCTCTAATGAGCAACAGCAAACTTGTTCTTTTTCTATGTTCAGGAGTATGATTATCGCTTTGGGTGTGAGAGGTCCCGGATTAAAATCCTGGATGTGCCAGTGTCTGCTTTTCAACAAGATATTAGTGTCCACTCCAGTAGACTTAAAAGAAAAATATTTCAGGAGAAAAATGTGGAAAAACAGCTGTTGAAAATGTACTCACCATAAACCTAAGGAGGAGGTTCTGGACAGATTTCTTTGGGTGCAAGAGGTCCGAAGTTCAAATCCCAGCAGAGCCCAAGACATTTTGAATGAGATTGGAGTAGGATCAGACAGGTTAAGGAGAGCTGAAAAAAATCTGAGGAAGAAGAAGGTGAGAACCACTGCAGTCCATGATGTGTTTAGCTCCAGGCTCCGGAAGTCCAGTACAGACCAGCTGTGTGGGATCACAGAGCCAAACAGAAACTACAAACAGACAGTAGATGGCAGCATTGTACTTTATCAGCCCTTATTGTCTTCATCAATATCTTTTTTTATTAAGGAAAATAACTTTCATATAAACATTGATTTCTGTGAATTTTTAACCCAGAAATCAGGCTTTTTCTATTTAAATATACAAATGTGTCAAATCATTCTCTGGTTCCTTTATTCAGTCCTGAAGTCCATTCTCTGCAGCCAAAACATATTTGTAGAACATTTTTAAAGATCCTACATGGAGTTTCCACGGCAAACTCTAAAACTGACATTCCTGACATTCAGAAAAACTCTCACTGCTTGTGATGCTCTGTCCAAATGCTGGACAGCAACACCACCAACACCTGGGGTCCGTTTCCATTAATGCATTTTACTAACTGGACTTTCCCTTTTCCCTTTCCTGTAGTCGTGTGCTTTCTCGTCCCTCTCCTCTCTTCTCTATATCACTTCCTACAGGTGTTCCTGGAGCTGTGGAGTCTGGATCTTTTGTTGAAAATCTCCTCCTATCACTTCCTGCAGGTGTTCCTGGCTCTGGAGCTGTGGGGCCTGGATTTGTGGTTGGGAGTCTCCTGCTGCCCCTGTGTTCCTACTCTTCTACAATTACAAGTACTGTTCCTTGTCCTATTAATATCATTACTGCTATCATTGTCATTAACATTACTATCAACATTTCTACCATTTTCCATCCAGTCTATGTGTTACTGTGTAGGCTGCCTCCACCTGCTCCCTCCGCTATCTCTGTCCTTCTCTCCCTCTCTCTCTTTTGCCCTCTCTCTCTATCACCCCCAACCGGTCGAGGCAGATGGCCGCCCACCCTGAGCCATGGTTCTGCTTGAGGTTTCTGCCTCTTAAAAGGAAGTTTTTCCTTGCCTGTGTCCCCTAGTGCTTTCTCTTGGTGGAAATTGTTGGGCTTCTGTTGATAACTTCAGAATAGGGTCTGACCAGTTCTGTTTGGAAAGTGCTGTGAAATAATTGTTGTTGTGATTCGGCGCAATATCAATCAAACTGAATTGAAATTGAATTGAAAAATGAGATCAAGGGCTCTGCCGGCTTTGTGAGTAGGATGCGACTCATCTACTGCCGACCAGTTGTTGGTCAAAAGAGGTCATTGATGTTAAGAAATCAGACGAGTTAGGGGAGTCAAGGTGGATATTCATATAATCAAGGACCACTGTGGGACAATCAAATTTATGAATGGAGGAGAGTAAGACGTCAAGTTCATCAAGAAAATCACCACGTTGTGCAGGTGGGCTATATATGACAATCACGCAGATTTTGACTGGTGCAGTTACCAAGATGGCATGGTATTCAGCCTCTCCCTGGGCTGCCACTTTATCGTGGTGGAGGGGGTTGAGTGTCCCAATGATCCTAGGGGGTCCCTGGTAGGGTCACCCAAGGCAAACAGGTCCTCGGTGAGGGATCAGACGAAGCGCAGCCCGAAATACCTCTCATGAAGAAAAGCATAAGTGGATCTAGTGCGCCCTTGCCCAGATGCGGGTCACCGGGGCACCACCCTGGAGCCAGGCCCGGAGGTGTGGCAAGTTGGCGAGCGCCTGGTGACCGGGCTTTAGCCCATGGAGCCAAGCCGGGCTCAGCCTGAAGAGGCAACATGGGCTCACCACTCATGGGGGGGGGCCAAAGGGGTCGGGTGCAGTGTGGAACGGGTGGCAGTGGACCTTGACGAACCGATCCCCGGCTGCAGAAGCTGGCTCTAGGGACGTGGAATGTCAACTCATCTTAGTATTGCTCCATCTAGTCTTAACGTCCTTTTGCAAATGCTTCAGTAGGCCTTGGGGGAGTGCTTGAAGTGGGTCGCAATTTTTCTCCCGTTGGCGATGGCATCGCTTACAGCTCACTGTGCCAACGGACCGTGTTGGACAACAAGATGTAAGGTGTGAACAAAACATCCCAGGCTGGGCACTCAAAGCTGATCCATTGCCTTTTTCATATTGGCCACGTTATCTCTTAAAATTACATGGACCTTCTTTTTGTCAATCTTCCAAGCACGTAGCATATGTTGCATGGCGTCTGTGATGGCATTCGCTGTGTGTGAGCCCTAAACTCATGCGCATGTAAAATAGCTCTCTTTGGGGTGAAGTCCGGCCCAACCCAGTGTGCAGTTAAACTTAACAACGATTAAGGACAGTGATCACAGCCCCATATATCAGTTGTGAAACTAAGATAATTTGCACTCTCTACTTGTTTTGCAAAGTAATCTCTAACCTCTTTGTAAATTTGGGGGATAGTTTTCTAGGATGTAATGACGACTGGGCCTGTTGTAATGTGGTTCCAGGTGTTCGATGGAGCGTCTAAATCTCAGTTTACTCAGGAAAGATAATGGCTAGTCATCTAGAATTATTTCTTCAGTAATGACTCTTGTTATTCCCTGTGGCAGTCGTGCCACCGTGGGTGCCCCGACAGAGTCTCTTGACCAGAGGTTGTTGGTTCAGACGGTTTTATTTCGAGTGTATATGCCACACGCACACACACACTCTCTCTCACACACTCATGCACGCCCGGCTTGGGCTCGTTAGTTTCTAGGCCATTTCTGTTCCCGAGCTGGTGGCTGGTCCTGCTCCAGCTCTCTCCAGAACCAGTCCTCCCCAGGTCCAGGACGCTACTCTTTTTACAGAGGGGAGACTGATTAGCCAACTGGTTCCAGGTGTGCTTAATCACCTCCCCTGGCACTGGTCCCTGAGCTTTCCCAACACCTCCCCTCCTGCAGCTGAGCGCCACGCCCCCTCCACATTCCCTGAGCTTTGCCATTGTTCGGTGGCACTTTGTCATGCTTCACAAACCTTTCTGTCAGTGTGAATTAATGGTTTCAGTCACTTACACAGTTCAGAATGAGAAGCATCTTGTGTAACACTCGAGCTTCTATGATGTTCCTTGGAAAGGAAAGCCTGACATTATCATATGACACAAGTCTTAGGTCTTCAGAGCCCTATAGCTGTGATGCAGTGACCATCATTTCCAGAATCCCACGAGTAGCTCCTAGGATCATTGGGACACTCAAACCCCTCCAACTTGATAAGGTGGAGGATACACCACCATTCCAGCAGAAAACTAGTTTTCCTGTAATGTTATGGTAAACAATCTTCTCCTTCTCCTTTCAGTTGCAGTGCTGTTTCTCTTTCTTTAAAAAACTAATTCAAACATATTTTAAATAAGAATAATAATAATAAATCATACAGCTAGCTTACAGCTTTGTTTATGGCCGGTTTCAAATCAGTGACCTTCTGCATGCGATGAACACTACAATACAAAAACTGTGTCCCCAACTTGAAAAGACTTCAGGCAGCTACTGTATGTTTTGATGTCCTAAGACTTCATTTGGGAATAAGCGGTTCAGAAAATGGATGGATGGATGGATGTTTTGATGTTTCATCTGAATATGAAAGTTTAGGTCCAGCCAAAGATATGGTAATGTCTTTTAATTTGAAAACATGCCACATTTCTGTCTGCTTCTAACGTCAGTCTGAAAATGAACAACACTGATGGGAAACTTGGAAGCTTTTAGAAGTGGATGTGTTATTTCACTTTGATACTGGACGCCACTGGAGCACTGGAAACCAGTGGAAGCACATGGGCCTGATGAAGGATCACACATAACAGCTATGAAGAATAGTGGAACAGCTTTAGGAATTGTGTCTGATATTTTCCTGACTTTGAATGTAAGTGCTTGAATTGGGAATTTATTGAAAAGATTAACCAATATGAACAAAGTAGGATGGTCAGTGTTTCAGTATGTGGACTTGACAGAGGATCACAGCCAGCAGATTTTCTGCAGGCAGTGATCATCAGACACTCTTCAGAGACTGCTGACATCATCTTTTTGTTTCTCACCTGTTACATGGCCTTCTCCAGATTGAAATAAAGTAAAAATTATACCTGTTGCAGTTTTAGAGGAAGAGCATGGTGAAAGCATGTTGTAATTGTAGAACACATGCAGCACAACTGATGTCCTTCATTCACATGTCACATGATGAAAAGCAAACAGATACAAATGCTGTCTGTCCGAAAATGCAAACGTATTAATAAAAATAGATATAGAAATAAAATAATGGTATAGTAAGAATAACAAAAAATAATGAGATGAAAAATTATAAGACAAATTACTTTTAAAAGCAATGGAAAATACTTGTAGCCTATAGTCACTATATGTTAGTAATTTCTACCAAAAGAGCACAATAACTTTAACATACTAAATCAACAAAAAACTCACGAATTCAGTTATTTAATAATTTAACAGAAAAAAGCCATGTGACTTTTAATTTACAGTATTAGACAACATTTAAATTAATCTGACCCTATATATATATATAATTTTGTATATAATTGTTATATCTAAATATTTAGATGACTAATTAACCTATAAAAATCTTTATTACAACACCTCTCTTCCAATTTAATTTTGATGTCCGTGAGCAAATTATTCAATCGTGGTAAGAAGATAAAATTCCGAGCTTTTAACGAGAACTTAAATCAGCACACGATAACCGGAACTAGCAAGTTTCGCGATGCTAAAAATAATGCTTAATTGTGTTGTTTAAAAAGAATACGTGTGGTGGGACCGGGTTAAAATGCATAATAACAATCAGTTATAGACTGGCGTCATTCTTACTGAACCATTTTCGCCAATGTGATGATAAGTCTGTCCCTTTACGCTAGCCGTAGTCAGCTGTGATTCAGAAGCGTGCTGTTTACTTTATCAACGTGAGCTAGATGGACAAATGCCGCTTTGACTAAGTTATCAGAGGGATTAAAGAGCGGAGAAATCCCAATATCACGTGAGTACGTTACGCAATAATAGTGTAATTTATGGTTTATGGGATATGTCTCTCCTCTTGACCGCAAAGCATGTGGAAAGTTTTCCCCATAGTGACACATGTGGCTGTAAACGTTTGGAAATGTGGGTGAAAGTCCGCCCTTTGGTCCACAGCTTCGTTTAATGGCGTGAAATCTGGAATTTCCACGCTTGTAAATCCACCTCTTTGTATTTAGTACAAGGTCGGTAGTTATTTTTATGGATCGCCTCAGGATTGTTACTGTAAATTGTGTTTTTTTAAATATTTTTTTATTTTCAAGGATAACTGGACAGTTTTGTCAGACAAAAGATTTTCCCCACTTTGATCCTGTTCATGATGACATCAACAGAGAGTGAAAGCACCTTTTGATGAATATGGGTAAACCTGTGTTTATCACTCACGAAATGGAAGATATGAATGCAAATAAAGAAAGAAAAAACAAACCAGCCAAGGCCTTTTTTAGTGGACTTTTTTTTACTTGACACATACATTTTTCCCATTTCACAGTAAACACTCTGTGCTGTCTAACTAATGTGGTTTTCACACAGGACCTCTAATAATAATTATTATGATTATTATTATCAGGGAATAAGCGGTATTGATAATGGATGTATAATAATAATAATTATTATTATTATATATATATATATCATTACATAGTAATAATTCAAACTGATCAGAATGTTAACAGTAATTAGATTTTTCCAGCTTTTTCACAAATCCTGAACAAGGCAGTAATGAATATACAGCCTCTTTAGGGCCATTATGTCCAGATTTGATGAGTTTAATTGTGCAATCTGTATGTGCATCATTTGTGTCCTGTTTGTTATCAGATTCATTTAGTTGTCGTCTTTCCACAGGATAAAAAGCTGTTTTCCATATGTACCGAATGGGTTTGCTAATTATTAGTCGGCTTGCATCAAGAACACCCACATGCTACCTGCAGCCATTCTCAGTTGCCAAATTATGGCTCTCCACCAAAACCGGCCCCCTCCGGGACAAAAACATCTTTCTCATGGGGCCCCCCGGAGCCGGGAAGACCACAGTGGGGAAGATCGTGGCCCACAAACTGGGGCTGCCGTCCGTCGACATCGATGACGATGTGCTGGAGGCGGCGTGGGGGATGCCGGTGGCCTCCAAGCTGGCGGCGGTGGGCGGGCGGCGCTTCCTGGAGGAGGAGGGCCAGGCTTTGCTCAACCTGTCCGCCTCTGGGTGCGTGGTCTCTCTGAGCGGCTCCAACCCGCTGCACCCCGCCGCCATGCGGCACGCCCGGCGGAGCGGCCTGGTCGTGTACCTGGACGTGGACGCCGAGGACATCCTGGGCCGGCTCGGCAAGATGAGGGTGGACAGGGTGGTGGGCCTGGGCCAGGAGGCGGGCGTCTCCATGAGGGACGTCCTGCTCCACAGGAGGCGCTTCTATGAGGCGTGCTTCGACGTGCGGGTGCTCTGCGGGTCCGGGGACACGGTGGAGGCCGTGGCCCAGAAGGTGCTGAGGGCTGTGGAGCGATACGAGAAGCACGACCGGGAAACCTTCATATCCACCAGGTGTGACGGAGCGGCTCAGGCTGGTGAGAAGACCTACTTCAGCGACGTGGTCGTGGAGGGTCTGGCGGCAGACGGAGGCCTCTATGTTCCTGAAAACGGTCTCCCGGTGCTGGACGCCGGGGAGTGGCGGCGGCTGGTGTCCATGTCCTACCAGGAGCGTGCCCTGGTCCTGCTGGAGAAGTGCATCCACCCGCTGGAGGTCTCTGCCGGGGATCTCAGGGAAATGGTGTTCAGGGCGTACGGGCCCAACTTCTCCAGCGACGCAGTGGCTCCCGTGAGGCACCTGCTGGGAAACCAGTATGTCCAGGAGCTGTTCCACGGCCCCACCGCCTCCTTCAAGGACCTGGCCCTGCAGCTGATGCCCCAGCTCTTCAGCCACTGCCTCCCCCCCATGTGCAGCTACCTGGTCCTGGTGGCCACGTCGGGGGACACCGGGGGGGCGGTGCTCAGCGGCTTCGGCCGCCTGGGCGCCGCCGCCCGCCGCCGCACCGGCGTGCTGGTGTTCTTCCCCGAGCGGGGGGTGAGCGAGGTCCAGAAGCTGCAGATGACCAGCTACGGGGGCGGCAGCAACGCCCGCGCCGTCGGCGTCCAGTCCGACTTCGACTTCTGCCAGAGGGCCATCAAGAGGATGTTTGGGGAGGCCGGGCTGGTCGGGCACCTCGCCGTGGAGTATGGCGCCGTCCTCAGCACCGCCAACTCCATCAACTGGGCCAGGCTGCTGCCACAGGTGCGCCCCAAGGGGGGGGGAGTTACCCTGCTAAAAATGACAAATTAAAAATATATAGATTATAATGATAGTTAATTATCATTATGATAATTTGGTCAAAATATATTAATTAACTCATTGACTGCCAGCCATTTTCAGAACAGAGAGTCCCATACTGCTAGTTTTTTGAGCATTTTGACTGATTTTTCAAGAGCCACAGAATAGTTTGTGCTATGACTATGTAAACACCGAACACACCAAAATAAAGAGTAGACTCTCTTCTTTCATCAGGAAGAACATTTTTTTCTAACTTATTCCGCTCTTCCTCGACTTGTGTCTCACCGGCGCCATTTCTCGCATAGCGAACCATTGCGTTTTTCTTATTTGCCTACAATCTATGCTCATCTCCCATCAAAAGTGGCACTGCCACCTAGAGGGTCAATTTGTTAGTACATACTCTGTCTAGAAGCCGATATTTACGGACAAGCTTTAGCAGATCGCCCCCCAAGCCACTCGCGTTGAAAAACATAAAAGACGTCTATAGACGTCTTTGGCAGTCAACGGTTGTATTTGAATTGACGTCTATAGACGTCTTTGGCAGCCAATGAGTTAATATGATAATCTTTTAATTTGAGTTATAAGAGATTCAATTAGCATTATATAGATTACTGTCCATTAAACCCCCACCCCCTGTTCCCTCCCCTCCCTCCCCAGGTGGTATATTATATAATGAGACTTATTAAAGATTCAGGATAATGTCATATTTTTATACATTACTGTCTATTAAACCCCCACCCCCCTGTTCCCTCCCTCCCCCCTGCCCCCCCGTCCCTCCCCAGGTGGTCTACCACTCCTCGGGCTATCTGGACCTCTGCAGGGACGGCGTCGTCCAGTTCGGGCAGCCCGTGGACATCTGCATCCCCACCGGTAACCTCGGCAACGCCATGTCGGCGCTGTACGCCAAACGCATGGGCGTCCCCATCAGGAGGGTCATCTGCGCTTCCAACCACAACCGGGTCGTGTCCGACTTCATCGCCACCGGCCAGTACGACCTGCGGGGGCGGCCCCTGCTGCCCTCCAGCTCCCCCGCCATCGACATCCTCCGCTCCTCCAACCTGGAGCGGCTCCTCCACCTGCTGTCGGACGCCAGCGGCCGCCTGGTCGGCGCCCTGTTTGCACGCCTGGACGCCCAGGGCTGCTTCCGGGCGCCCGGGGATCTGCTCGCCGCCGTCCAGCGGGAGCTGGGCGCCGGCTGGTGCTCCGAGGACGACTGCCTGGGCGCCATTGGCCGCGTGCACGCCCAGACGGGCTACGTGCTGGACCCGCACACGGCGGTGGCGCAGGTGGTGGCGAGCCGGGTGCAGGACGCCTCCTGCCCCGTGCTGCTCTGCTCCACTGCTCACTACGGGAAGTTCGCCCCCTCGGTCTGCAGAGCGCTAGGGCTCCAGAGCGTCCCGGAGGATCCTGTGCAGCAGCTGGCGGCGCTGGAGGCCGCCGTGCGCAGCCCGGGAGCCCACGGCGAGCTGGTGCGGCGTCTGGGAGGCGCCAGGATGGCGCACACCGTCCGGCAGGCCGAGTACGGCGAGCTGGCGGAGGAGGTGGAGGCCATGATACAGGACTCCTTCCTGAAAACTACATAGACACACAGGACGGGCAGCGGAAGTCGGCCAGAGTTCATATATGGAACATCTAGTTAAAATAAAAGAAGATATATTTGTAAAAAATTGGGGGAAATATATATAATATATGTATTTATAAATATATATATACTGTGTATATATATATGTGGATATACTGTATATATGTGTATATCTAATCTAAATTGGAAGGAAAAAATATTTGTAATTTTTCTGTCATAAATCCAACTCTTCATGTAAATTGCTGAGTTTGTGCCACTTTTAACAGGATATAACAAAGACCAGAGCCGCAGTTACATCATCATCTGGCTCCACTCCCCCCTGGCTGCCACAGAATGACGAGGTATCAAGTTATTCAGTAGGAATTACTGCTTTAAAAGGTTAGGTCAGATATAGTAAAAGTGTCAGTAGAACTCAATAGCCGCTGCACGAGGGGTAATTATCTCCCACGGAAAAGATGGGTGTCCTTGCCCTGAGTTGCTTGCCGTGTTTTTAAATGATATTTTCTCAAGTTCCCGTCAGGTCCCATATTCCTTCCGTCAATTAAATTCCTTTTTTTTTTTTCTTTTCTGTCTTTTGAAGAAAGACACTGAAGGGTGAGGAGTACTTCCACCAATCACAGCTGCATAAAAAACACTCAGAAAGCAGAAAACACAGAGTTTTTATACTGTAATTAACTTTAGAGTCAAAATTTCCCCTAGAAATGATGTTTGATGGAAAAAATTATTAATCTTCTGTGTTTTCTTTGGTCTTTGATTGCTTCAGGTTCTGCAGATGCTTTAAGGACTGTGTCTGGATAAAGGGAGCTGGATTGTTTTTACAGTAAATGTGTGGCAGGAAGTGGTGAATAGCACGTTTATGGGAATTTTACTGATTGTTTAAGGGCTGCTGCTTTACTCCTGGAAGCCGTTAATGATTCGTGCCCTCAATCTGGGGAATGTTTTAGTTTCTCAACAAATGAGAGGATTTTTTTTATTTCAAACTTTCAAAAATATACAGAGCTTGACAAAAATTTCAGACCACTTGATAAAAATGACAAATAGTTTATTATTTCTTAAATAGCACATAAACGCCCAAGAATAAAATGCAAGTCATGATTTTATCTTAATACTTAAAAAAGGGCTGATTTTTCAAAGAATTCCCCAGACAGATGTTCCTCCCCCATTTAACTGGATCATACATAGTATCCTCTCCTTTCTCAGGTCACATGGGACAGCATGCCCTGCTCCCATTGGCCCATTTGGATGACTGAGCCCCAGTTTGAATTCTGTCATCCAATGGAATCACACTAGCATGGCCGCATACAATCAGATCTCTGTAACTGAGCAGGAACAGCCTATTTTAAACAGCAAACTGCTCCTGTTCCCCAAATGTGCTTTAATTTGGTTTCTCTCAGCCTTGGAAGCAGGACAACAAAGGTCAGGCAGAATTTACGAGGATGTTTGTGGAACAAAAAGAAGAACTTTGTTCTTTTAAGCTCTGTGCAAATTCAGTAACAAATTTTACTGGATGCTTCTCACTTTTAACCTGTTGTAAACTATTTTGACAGATAATCTTCCACAAATGTGCAACATGTTGTTTCCTAGTTTAATTTAAATTTCCATGACTCATCTTCCAGTATTTTTAATTTTTCAAGTTTACAAGATATAGAAATACAATTTAATAGGGAACAAGAAGCTGTATTTTTGACAGTAAGGATCAATAAAGTGAAAAAAGTGATTATTAAAACAACTTAAATTATATTGATATCTATTCATTTGAGATATAAAAGATTAAAATAGCAAAATGAAACGACAATAAATAAAAAAAATACATCTCTGTACAAGTTTCATCCTCAAACAGTAAAAAAATGGACAAGGTTTACTTTAAGCAAAGGCTTATACTCATTTTTATTTGCTTTTAGAGCAAATATTGGTTTACGTTGAAAAATTGGCCAAAAACTGAGCCATCAGAGTTTGCTTATTTTCACGGTCGCCTCCTTTAACTTGCTGCTGCAGGAGCACAGCGTCAGGATCACTGGGATGAAAGCCAGACCGTGCACCATCCCGACGACCATGACCAGGAAAAAGATCTTAAAGAAAGCCCTGAAGGTGTAAAACTCGGACAGAGACAGCACTGACACCCCCACGATGGTGGACAAGGCCCCCTGCAGGATGGGAGGGCCCAGGCTGGAGAGGGCGTCCATGGCCTTGTCTTCCCGGCTTGGCTTTTTGCTGGAGACGAAAGCATAGGACACATGGGCTGAGAAGTCCACTGTGAAGCCGATGCAGACGGTGAAGATGATCATGGAAATGGAGTCCAGGCTGACCCTCCAGAGCGCCATGAGGCCCGTGACCCCAACAGTCACCGAGCCAATGGAGCAGGTCACCAGCAGGCAGCAGAGCGGGTTTGGGATCAGCAGCAGGGACACGAACAGCATGATGGCCGTGATGACGCCCACGTTTTTAATGGTGGAGCTCACCACCACGTCGTACTGATCGAAGAAGATGAACTCCTGGTTGTAGAAGGACAGAGACGCCGCCTTGCACCTTTCGGCGATGGACTCCAGCCCCCTGAGCATGGCGATCTCCCCCTTGGCGCCAGAAATGTTGACTGTCTGGATAAAAAACCTGGAGGCGTGGATGACCCCTCTGGTGAGGTTCACGTCCAGCTTGAAGAAGGGAAACGACTCGAAGAAGGGAGGCAGGTTTGCAAGAAAGACGTCCTTATCGTTGAGGTTCAGATGCCTCTCCTGCCCATAGTCCAGGTAGGAATCCAGCCAGGAGGTGAAGATCTTCCTGTCCACAAACTGGGGCCCTTTAAAGTCCTGTATGCATCCTTTCAACTGGCACCTCCTGACGTCGTCCCAGTATGGGAACTCCTCCTTCACAACCACCATAACAGATGGGCCGTAAGCCGAGAAATGCTGCCTGTCCTTGATATCGAAGGCGGTGACGTGGGAGTTGTCGGCCGCCAGATCGTAGAGCTCGATCCCCTGTTGGACGTGGAAACACCCATAAATGCTGCCAGACAGATAGGCCACATACAGCAAGATTACAGCTCCTTTGGTCCAGGGTTTGACCAGAAATGGGCCGTAGCGGTCCCTGAAGAAGCGCCTCAGCCATTGCTCCTTCTCAGCCCCGGTGGTCCTGTCGTAGCCGCCCCCCACACAGCAGAGGTTGTACGAGTCGGACCGGTTCTCCGACTGGAGGTTCGGTATCTTCATGCAGGTCAGCCAGTGGCGGTTGGCAGCCTCCCGCCTGCCGTTCAGGGCCATGAAGGCTCCGAAGAAGGTGATGGTGTAGATGTAGCTGAAGATGATGGAGGTGGCCGTGTAGAAGCAAAAGCTCTGCACCGACGGGAATTCGGACATGGTGCCTATGAAGAACTTGAGGACATCTGTCAGGGCCGTGATGGTGATGGACATGACGGCCTCTTTGTAGGTGTGCGCCATCCGCTTGGACACCGGGTCGGTCACAGGACTGTGCTGCCAGTCGGACACCATAATGAACATGTTGTTCAGACCGATCCCTAAAATCAGATACACGCATGAGCTGTCCTGCAGGCTTTGGATGCGTTAGGAAACATCTAAAACATGCAGGGCAGCACCCTAAAGATTTAAGGATGCTTCTTTCTTACCGAGTATCAGGAAAGGAGAGTTTGCCACAGTTACAACAAACGGGACCCCGATGTAAAGCAGCAAGCCAAAGGAGGAGACGACCGCCAGTCCCGAGGTCAAGACGCCAAAGATGGCCGCCCACACTTTGTTCCTGACGTTGTCCGATCTGCCAAAGAGGAGATAAAAAAGAACAAGAGGCAATCAAACAATCAATTACGTGGCTGGTAAAGATAACGAGCTGCCAGCGTAGAAAATTATTCTCTTTATGTTCCTACTGTGCCCTGACAGTTCCCGTATGAACAGGCTTGAATCACCCATTACACATGTTGTAAATGCTCAGTTATTTATTAATTTATTCATTTGCTTGCTAAATACTATGCAGAGGCTTTCACAATGCCAGATAAGGCTGATTCCAGCTTGTTCTTTGACAATGTGTTATGAAACACAGCTGTCGTGTTGCCAAAAGGGAAGCTGGGGTTTTATCGGGGGGTAAATGGAGCAGTTTGCTGTCCCATAATTAAAAGATTTAGATCATATATATTTATATATAGATAAGGTCCAAAAACTTAAATAAATATCAGAAATGTTCTACTTTTTTTCCCGTCAGTCATTAAAAATGTCCCCAATCTCTCATTAAAACACAGTTTAACTTAATCCAGCTCTTTCTCACAGATCAGCTTGCTCATATTTAGTCTAAACCCACCAGAAATACCCACAGCAGGAGAGGGAGAATATTCCACCTTTACCCTTGTTAATCTGAGCCCTTTTTTTATCCGAAGACTTTAACAAAACATAGAAAACACAGACATCAAAACATATTCATGAAATAACCTCATAGTTTAGTTGAGTATTTGACTATTGATCATTTAATGAAAAAAACATGTCAATGATCTTTTTTTTTATTATTCTTCATTTTGTCAAAGTAATTAAAAATTACTTTATTTTGAATAGTTTTCTTTTTCGGGGAAAATGTTTTAATCCTCCTGTTTCTATCAGATTGTTATTGACTTTACAGGTTTGGGGAGCTGGTGGGTTTAATTATAAATGGCTGAAATGTCCACATGAAGCTGCTGCATGTGGCTCGTGGGAATGGAACCACCAACCTCACCCTGTTTTGCATTCAAACTCCAGTTGTCTGTCAAATTTCCACCCACTCAGCCTTTCAGTTTCTGGGTCTTTCCGGTTCTTTCTCCGAGCTCTAACCTTCCCCTGCTCAGTATTTGGATTCGTCTGGTTCCTTGAGGCGGGCTGGGCCTCTCACCTGAAACAGGACAGCACAGAGAAGCTGATGGCGAAGGCATAGGTGATGGCAAACAGGGGGAAGCCGTCTGTGGTGTGGCTGTCGATCTCCTCCTGCTTGGACTTGGAAGTGTAGTAGGACACCTTTGGGAGGCAGACACATGCACTTATAGGACACTTTGAGTCAAAAGAAGATCAAAATACAGTCAATAGATTTTTTTTACTGGGTTTGCTTTTTGGATGATTGATCTGCTCATTTGTTGTAACCGGGACTGGATTGAAGTCGGTTTCGTGGTTATGGGAGTCGTTTTGAACGCTGCCATAACGGAGACCATAAATGGCCTTGACCGGCTTGATCTGCTCTATAAATACTTCTCTGCAGGTTACAGGTTCATGCAGGCTGTAAAACAGAGGGAATCAATTTATTGTTCCTTTCTGATCCGATAAAAATGGCTTCAAAGAGGAATTTTCCAGAGTGGCACCAGAAAAATTACTGTGCAGGGCTAAACCGCTTTATTGATAAAAATAATCATAATTTATATGATTTATATTTTTTTTTAATAATAGTACAAAATATTAT